CAACATCATTATTAAAACAATGAAACACTAAACAAACATTACAAAACTTAAGGGGCATAAAACAGTGAGCTAAAGCATAATCTATAAAAACGTCCTTGTAAAAGCAGCAGAAGATGATGATTATAACCGACACTACATCTTTGTAGCAGAAAAAGCATCTTAGCCAGAGGCTTTTCTAAGAAGGATGATCTTTGCCAGCCACCAAAATGCCAAGACAAGGTTTCCTAGGAAGGGAATTCTGGAACCTTGGCATGACTACAATGAGGTCTCCCTGGTCACAGTCAGAAGGATATTATGTATAGGATATGAGAACCTATGATGATGATCTTAATAAAGCAAGTAGGTTCATACAAGAAAAAGTAGTTCTTTGGATATACTGGCCCAAATCATGCATGGCTTTACAGGTCATTAATAGAATTTTGAATTGGGGACCGAAACAAACTAGAAGCCAGTGCTGATGCTTGTGATAGGTAGCTCCCATTAACAAATGCGGCTGTCATATTCTGGATCAGTTGTAAGTTTATGGATATTTTTTCAAAGGCAACCTAGTAGGCTGCATTCCAGTAGTCTAGATATGATGTAACTAAGAAAGATATTCCCATAGCCAGTCAACAATCTCCAGGAATGGGAATATTTGGTGCAGCAACCTAAGGTGAGCAAAAGCATTCCATTGAGAACATTTTGTGTTCTTAAGGGAAGTAAAATCCCAACGAACACTAATTAAATCATGGATCAACAGTCTTATGGACCCATGAGACCTGTCTTGTCTAGACTAGGCTTCAGTTTGGTAGCCCACATCCAGTCCATTACTGTCCCGGGCACTTATTTACAATGGCAATAGTATCTATAGATGGAAAGTTCTAAATCTCTGAATGGTTTCATGTAAGATGGAACCCTGAGGGAAGCCAGAGGCCAATGGGTAATGTGTTGAGAAGAGTTCTCCCACCACCACCTTTTGCAGTCAACTGTCCCGGACCTGAATAACATTTTAAAGCAAAGTCCCACTTTTGCTAAGCGATTCAGATGGATATCATGGTATTTAAAGCTGCTGACAGATCTAGTACAACTGATAGGTATGTACCTCTTGGCAAAGGTCATCAGTCATTGAGACTGGGGCTGTTTCCATTCCAATATTAGGCCTAAATATAGAAAATCCACATCTAGAACTGAAAGGCCTAAATATAGAAATATAGAAAGGCCTCCTAAAGGAGCACCTTTCTCAGGGATGGAATGTTTGAGTCCAGCTGGAATTTATCCTACATGGTAGAACCAAGAGGGAGCTGCTTCAGAAGTGTTTGAAGAAGCCTGTTTTAAGTTTACAGGAACCACATCATTAACCACCCTTCCACTCAGCTACTCTGCCTCTAGCTGTTCATGAAAACTTGGAAGGACAAGGGTTGAGTGTGCACATGATCAGCTTCTTTTGTATACCTCCCCAGGCTACATAAATATTGAGAAATATCCAACAAAACTAAACAAGAAAATGTGAAAGGTACATCTATGGACTCTTCCCAAGCTCTGGTGTTTAAGTTGAAACAAGCATGAGCAGTTCAATCCACTAAGCGCCTGGTAGATTGGTAACAGCAAGCCACCAAGCGGTCATCATTTCATTCTTGATGGTCCAGATGACTACCTGAGAAAGATCTAATCTATCATGAGCTTTCTGCCACAGTCACTCTGTTCATTCCTAAGAATAAATTGTACCTTGATTTTTCATTTGCTTGCTCAGGGTGGCTAATCTAGATGTCATCCCCATCAGCTCTGCAGACCACCATGGGGCATGCATTGCTCGATTAGCTGCAAGAAAGCTTCAGTGACAACCATTTGTAGAAGAGCTATTCTGGATCCAAGATATAGAGCATGTTCTTTCCTTGTAGATGTTTTATCTGTTGTTGGACCTGCCAGTTCAGTAATTCAAATTTAAAGTTGTGACAGGCAGATGAAATCCAATACTGATTATGTTCTTGATGAGAGGTGATGTTACCTTTGTTGTTATTGTTTAGTCGTTTAGTCATGTCCAACTCTTTGTGACCCCATGGACCAGAGCACGCCAGGCACTCCTGTCTTCCACTGCCTCCCGCAGCTTGGTCAAACTCATGTTGGTAGCTTCAAGAACACCGTCCAACCGTCCAACCACCTCGTTCTCTGTCGTCCCCTTCTCCTTGTGCCCTCAATCTTTCCCAACATCAGGGTCTTTTCCAGGGAGTCTTCTCTTCTCATGAGGTGGCCAAAGCATTGGAGCCTCAGCTTCAGGATCTGTCCTTTCAGTGAGCACTCAGGGCTGATTTCCTTCAGAATGGATAGGTTTGATGTTAACTAGGCTGCCCCAAAGGAGGTGAGAGGAAGCAATTCCTTCCCTATGGGAATTGCCAAGCCAGGCAAAATGCATAAGAACCCTGGTGGATCAAACCAAGGATCCATCTAGTTTAGTATTCTGTTTACATGAGTAGTTTACATGAGTAGTCAGCTGGAGGTTTCTAGGAAGGCCACAAGTAGAGAGAGACCCAGGAGTGGTTCCTTGCTTGTGAGGGCATGACTTCACATTTTTTTTTCTTAAGGAACAAGGGATGTGCACAAAGGAGAGATTTCCCTTCGTATTCAGGTTTTAAGCACATTGTTTCATCTTTATCAAAGAATACCGTAAGAGCATTGACCACACTGATACTGTTTATAGTTACTCATTTAAGTGCTTACCACAGTGAGCTTTACAGTATATGGAAGAATTGCTTTTTTCTAGGTGCAGTCCTCATTAAGATGAAGGATTTAACCTATAAATGAAGGTATATTTTTAGATTTATTCGACATAAGGAGACATATGTCTTGCCATATATCTTTTTCCCCAGATCTCTTTACTTGGCTCAGGTGTCGGCCTTCTATACACAGTGTGCTGAATTTTCCTTTTGTCTGTTTCTTTATTCTATCCAAGTACATAAAACAAGAGACTGGATGCCATAAATACATCCAAGATCATAAATAACGTGTGTTAACCCAAAAAAAAGTTCCTAGCTGATTCTTCCATTTGCTTTTAACTTGGAGGCAAGTGGAAGATGACAATACATGCTTTCATGTAAATGCCTAGGATCCGTTTTGTGGAGCCAAAGGGGCAGAGAGGATAGTCTGGAAGGCAGAGTGACTGAAGATCCATCATTCCCTTGATTTCAAAGTGGTGTGTGATGTGGTGGGTGGGATGGGCTGCTTTGCCAAAAAAAATTAGAAGAAAGCAATCCCTCTGTTTGTGCAGATGTGGTTCATTTGCTCTGCTGGATTACAGCCACCACCTTTGGTGAATACGTAACCCGTGGATCAGGGGACATCATTTTATAGCTCCTTTAACCAATTTAAACATTATTTCAGATTCATGGCTGCCATTGGAAATGGTTTTTGCGGGATTGTGGCTTTACAGCTGCAGTGATGTTCAAGTCTGCTTCCATTATGGGTTGGTTAGACTGTATTTCAAGCAGCCATGCTGCAGCCCTGCTGGTTCCAAAGATGTGAGGCGCCAGTGTGGATGCTTAACAGGCAATGTGGCAGAACAATGTAGGAAGCAGATTCAAATGTTGCAGCAACTGGAATTAGATGAGTAGAAGTGAAAAGAGCAGGGAGTGCTAGCAGGGAGTGCTTGCTATGTTTTCTCTTACATACAAACATGGCATTATTATATAAATTAATACACTATTGCAGTGCAAAAACTTGGATTGCCACAGCCTGAAACAATATGGGTCTTAAATATTTTGCCTCACAGATATTGAAAATTAAAAAATTGTCCAGTAGCACCTTAGATACCAACTTAAGTTTGTTCTGGGTATAAGCTTTTGTGTGCATGCACACCTGTTGACGAATGACCTGGTCTGAATAGAGATATTGGATTCTTGTCTCACTACACATGCTAAAGCAGTGTTTGGTCATCTGCATACTATCCCTTGTTTTTTCCTGTAGGACTAATTGCAGTCATTAACAGTCGTCCACAGGTTTACCATACCCATTGAGTCAATCACCCATCTCCTACTACCCTTCTGAGAAAAACCCCACCCCACCATCCCACTATATATAAGGGTCTGGTTACTTCTGTTTCAGTGTATCTGAAGAAGTGTGCATGCACACGAAAGCTTATACCCAGAACAAACTTAGTTGGTCTCCAAGGTGCTACTGGACAATTTTTTTATTATTATTATTTATTTCGACTGTGCCAGACCAACCTTCTGACTACCTGAATCTAGATTTGAAAACGATACCATACTTGTCAGTTTAGACAAATCAAAATACCTGATTTTTTGTCAATTGAACCATGATGATGGGAAGCAAGTGATAGTTTAAAGATGAACAAAGATAAATGTGGCAGTATTTAGGAGGGAATATTTGTATGCAAACAGAACATCTGTTTATATTTCACTTATGAATAGATTGTGATATCAATTCTCAATATTCGTACATAAGAAAACCTGAACATCAGCTGACACTGAATGGACTCTGTAGGATGCCAGATAGGACAGAGGAGGCTGCCTAACAGCCTGATGAGTTCAGTCTTCCAGTAGGGCAAAAAATATTGAATTAGGTCCTTCTAACTCATGTATGTGTAGAAATATGAGAAAAACATTTTGATGTCAATGATTATTTATTGACAGTGCTATGTGGGAATAAGTAAAGTTATTAGTATATCTCCTAATTCTATATACTAAGACACCCCCCCCCCCGCAAAAAAACTTCACAGTTCTTACCACTTCTCAGTTTGCCCCAGTAACACTAACATTGATTAGAAATGATGGAAATAAGGATGGCATTTTTATATTGGCCAAAAACATTTGATTAACCTGCGGGATTCAGAGGCCGCTAACTTCTGGCCACGAGACTTCTGAAATGTTGAAAAGTACCATTAAATATCAGCATTTACAAATTCTAGCACTAATATAGTTAAGAGTAAAAATAAAGGGGAGTAGAGAAGGATCATTTGGGAGTTCATTGCTACTGAAGAGTAATCATTTAATTCATTCTCTTTTATTCAGGTGCTTTCCCAGACGCAGCTTTGTATGCTCGAAAAGACTTGCTTCACAGACCAACGCATGTTGCTACCAAAACGTTCCAAGCCTTGCGCATATTTGTCAACAATGAGCTGCACGAACTATTTGCGGGGCTAAAGGCAGCCGAGAAGTTTCTAAAACCAGGGGGGCGACTTGTAGCAATTTCTTTCCATTCGTTAGAAGATCGTATCATAAAGCGGTTTCTTCATGGAATAGATATGTCAGAAAAATTCAGTCTCAGTGTCAGGCAGAAGATCAGGCAAGTGGAGAAGAATTCTTCAGAGAATGAGGAGGAGGATGAATTGTCCAGTGGAACTTCTAACTCAAGATGGACCTCAGTACAGAAGAAAGTGGTCACTCCCAAGCTAAGGCTATTAAAGACAATCCAAGAGGACGCTCAGCAAAGCTAAGAGCAGCTATTAAGATGTAAACATTTTTTAAAGCAGCAAATCTGTAGCATTTTTAAAAAGTTAGCCACACATTGTTCCTGCTTCACTAATTAAATCAGAATGCCAAAGAAGGGAACATCACATGACTAAACAACCTTTTTTCTGCATTGCTACAGAAAAATATCTTTCACATATACAGATTAAAGGACAAGAATTATGTTAGTTTCTATATAACTCACCATGATAATATTCATTAATATCTAAAATACAGGTACATATATTTTAAATATGCCTACTTTCCCCTGTAACAGCAAATGCACAGCCATGTGCTATGTAGCTGTATTCGTTTTTATATATGTTTTTATTGTAAATTGCATTTATAATCTATGAGAAGGGGTTAATAAACAAATTGGGGTTAATGAGTCGGCTCAGATTCAGAGTGTTAAACAAGTCAAGCTGTGGTTTTTTGATGCATCCAAATGGACCAATAGGCAATGGTATGGGCTGAACCAGAAACCTAGCAATATGATTCTAAAAGAATCCACTGCAAATCCTAAAATGATGTATTGTGGCTCAGAGCTGCATGTGAATATTGATTCCATACCTAACAAAAGCAAGTCTCATTGTGCAATGAAAATCAGGTCAAATTGCCTTCCTCTTTTACTAGAGTAAAACTTCAGTGGATTGCTGTTGAGCTGCATGCAGTCTCTAGAAGATCTGCCAGTTGGAATTTCTAAGCAACCTCAGGGAACCATATAGTGTATCCCATTACTTTAATTGGCTTACCTTGGTATTCCATGCAATTTGCAGTTATGATCTGTAAGCCTGAATATCACATGCTCTGAAGAATATATGTTTAGCTGTGTTTCCCGTTCTCCATTGTGCTGTTAAAGATCAGTCACAAGCACCTCCTTAATCATGGTACATCAAATGCACGTTGTTGTTTTTTAAAAGCACTCTTAATTGTTACTTCCCCCATCTATGCAACTTCCCTGTAAGTTAGTGAAAATCTCAAATGTACCATCTTCCAGCATCTTGGTACAGTGGTACCTCGGGTTACATACACTTCAGGTTACATACTCTTCAGGTTACAGACTCCGCTAACCCAGAAATAATACCTCTGGTTAAGAACTTTGCTTCAGGATGAGAACAGAAATCGTGCCGCGGCAGCAGCGGGAGGCCCCTTTAGCTAAAGTGGTGCTTCAGGTTAAGAACAGTTTCAGGTTAAGAGCGGGACTCCAGAATGAATTAAATACGTAACCAGAGGTACCACTGTATTAGTATGCAATTCTAAAGGATGACAAGTGTGGTCACTCTTGGCTGGGTTCCAAGTCAGTAGAGAGCTTACTGCCCTAAACAGTGCTTTCGTTTCCACTTTGCATGGAGTATCCAGGAAAATCAGATGCCACCTAAGAGAATTATCAGCTTGCATGTCCTATTTTTTTCCAGGTTAGGGGGCCTACAGGTTAGCAGGTCCATGCCTGAGTCGCTGAAGGCACACACTGCCATACATTTTTCAGGGATGGTTATCCCAAAGTGACATGCTTGTAATAAGCAGCATAGCTTTCCTACCTAAAATGATTAGTGGTGTGTTCCAAAACACAGCAGATATTTCTGATTGATTTTGCCTGATGATCTGATCTCTTCCCTCTGCCCCTGGACAAATACAATAAAAATGAAAAATCATTATTTTTACTTCACCCTTTTGTAATAAAGAGTCAAGTTATTCCCATTTTTCCTAATAAGGAATGTGTAGGATCTGTTGTGAACTTAGTCTAAATTAATAACGTTTTTCACCGAAAATGAATAGATAGGCAATTTCTAGGATGGAGTTTTCAGGAGGATCTAAGAATCTGCAGTAGGACTGGTGTTGTTTAACTTATTCATGGTTGAGGAAAGGAGCTCCACTTCTTCCTCGTGTAGCGATAATTTCATCAGAATGACAATACACGTTATGAGAGCTAATTTGAAGAATTGCATTGATCAGTCTTTCTCTGACTGGGAGTGTAAGCATCTTTCATGAAGGAAGGGAACATGGAGTGCACTCGAGAGATTTAAGCAATTTATCATGTTGTGTCTATAAGCAGACAAGATTCATGGTTTTCTAAAGGATGGGTAGTGATCCTATTGCAGCTTCCAAGGGGAAGGAGAGCAAATCCTTGACCATTTGTATAGATAATATGATAGTAGGAATGCAGGTGTGCCGGAACCTCATGGGGGAAAGTAAAAAGCAGACAAGGATTGTAGGAGCTGGGTGAGTAGGAAAGGCTTATGGAACAAAGAATATAGGGAAAGGGGTGATTCAGTGATTGGGAGACAATGGGATATCCTAGATAATTACCTCCCCCCACCCTAGTCAATTTTTTGACGTTTGAGCACAGTATAGCATATCACGTTTACAAGAAGAAAATCAATAAAATACGTCACTATCTAGCACAGTAAGGCTAGTGGGATGCATACTGATCAGAAACAGGCATATCTCTCTCGGCACTTGACATGCCAGTGTTGAACTTGTGATGGACTCCCAATCCTATAAATCTCTTGCAGCGTGCTTTGTTATTGGACTCAGAGGGCCTTATATCCTGATGGCTCACTCCATGTTGTCTTCTTCCTTTCCATATCTAGCTTGATCAAATGATCCCCCTGGATTCTTGGCCCTTTTTCTTATATGACTCAGAGAGTGAGACAGAAAGTGACTCTTTTGGCCTGTTTCCCAGCTACTACTTGATAGAGCTCCAAGCCATTCAAATGCTATTCTTTGTCTTCGAGAGGAGAGTTCTTTTACATTTCTTCCAGAAAAGCCCTAATCTTTTAAGTTTTTACTTTATTCTACAGATACCGTATATTTGGTGTAAAAAGGTCAATCATAGACATAATACATAGGCAATATGATCAACATAGTGGGGGATTTTTAATCATACTGCTCTTTTATGCTGTAAGCTGCCCAAAGCTACTGTGGAAACTGAGCTAGAAGGCCGGGGTATAAATAAAATGGTGGTGGTGATGGTGATGCTTTGTTGGAAGCCGCCCAGAGTGGCTGGGGCAACCCAGTCAGATGGGTAGGATACAAGAAATAAATTATTACTATTATTATTATTAGGGTGGCAAAATAGGCTTCCTAGGATTCCTTCCTCATGCTAGAAGAAGGGAGGAATAATTTCTGCCCCATTGTGTATGTCCTGTCCCCAGGTAGCCATAGATGCACTGGACGAAGGGGAAGAACTAGGAAGATGGGGTGACTTACTATGCTATTCCTGGCAAAGGTCTGGTCCAGGGGTCTGCAACCCGTGGCTCCGGAGCCGCATGTGGCTCTTTTACACCTTTGCCGCGACTCCGGGATGGATCCCATGAGGGGAGGAGGCGCATTGGTGCGCCCCGACACTCCCCACTGTGGCGGGCGCTGTACTGGCTGTGACGTCGCATGGGGGCAGTGCGTGCATTAGTCACGCACCGTCCCGACGTCACCTTCCCGCCCGCTGTCAGATCGGAGGACAGCGGCGTGCATGCTTTAAATGTCGCAATGGTTTTGCGGCTCCCAGGTGTTTTTTTCTTCGGAAACGGGTCCAAGTGGCTCTTTTTTGTCTTAAAGGTTGCAGACCCCTGGTCTGGTCCATAGCTGTCAACGTTTCCCTTTTTAAAAGGGAAATTCCATTATTCTGAATAGGATTCCTCGCAAGAAAAGGGGAAAGTTGACAGCTATGGTCTGGTCTTCCCATCCTCAGTAAAGTGGAATATGGCTTATATACACAAGGGAACAAGATATGAGTACCAATCCCAAATATACGCTCTCATTGTAATGGCTGTTGGTTATCCTCCTCTACTAGGAGTATTGTTACCATAGGCAGTTACTATTACATTAGCAGAGTTATTTGTGTTCATAATATTTAGTTGTTTATTTAGTTATTTAAACCATACTACTTCATTTTTTTTAAAAAACACACACCAAAACCTCAGCTACATTGTGACTTTGTAAAACTCAAACTTTTCCTGTGGATTATCTAGAAGATCACAGTGACATTGTTGTTTCTATTATTATTTAAATGACTTTAGGAGAACCCGGAAGACAAAGCAAATAATGTCGTTTCATTGAATTATGAGAGAAGGCAGTAATTGACTGTCATGGCACACTTAAGTTATCTACTCTTGAAGAAAATTGGTAATAATCTGCTTTATCTTGACAGACCTTTTGGTTATGGCTATCACTCGCTCATTTAAGCAAGTTAACATTTGCACTATTAATACATAATAAAAATTTCTGTCAAATAGGTTATTAAAATATCACAACCCTTTAAAATTTATTAATTTGGCTGTCGTAAATCCATTTCTTCAAAGTGCAAGAACTAATATGACTCACAGTATCTTTGCTTGAACCTGCTCAATGAATGTCAATTAATTCTGCCTATGACAGTAATTTTGAAATATTCTGGGGGCTGCATGTCTCAATTCTAGATCTGTACTGTGACTCAGAGCTGACTCAAACATGCAGAACATACAGTAGAGCTCTAGACTATACCACTTCAGATATCAGAGTGACTTCATTACAGTAATAATATTTTGGCTTAATAAGCCAAGATATAAGCTGCTTCACAGCACAAGCAAGCAAAACAGAAAGTCTTCCATTAGCCACAGTTTACTATTTTGTATGAGCTGGGAAACTGTGGTTAACAACTTCAGAACAAGGCAGGCCATTAAACCATAGTTTGAAACCAATTTAAGATTCTGGCTTGTTCTGAACATTGTAGCCATAGTTTCTTGATTTGGACCAAATGGGAAACTGGTTTATTATAGGCTTCCTTCTTCGTGCACAGGGCCTTAATGTGTAGGGTGAGGAATTCATTCATATCTTGTTTTATAAAGTCAAGATCTTGCAAACTACCCCATTGTCTTCCCAAGTAAAAGACTTTGCCAAACAGTGAAAGCTATATCAAGAGAAAGACATTTCCCAGTTGGTCACTCACTCTTCTTGCTCTACCCACTCTCACACCTCTGTTTCACTTGCAACCTCTACTGTGTGCTTTTTCTGCACTGGATGTGTCAAGGAGTCCCTGTGTTTCCTGTTCTCAATGCTTCTCCAAATACCTTGAACTAAAATTTGCACATCTTCCCACCCAAGTGAGGTGCACTGAAGCCTGGAAACAACTTGTACATTTCACTGGTAAGTTAGCATCACCAAAAAGAGATTTACATGCAGCTTTCACATGTTAATTTTATATGAACTGATGCAAATTTAGAAGTTATTATTGTAATTTAAATAGACACACATCTCAGCATGACCTGATGTCCAGGTGTTAAAAGTATCTGGGCAAATTGAAGGCCTCCGCTCTCCCTTTTTTTGCTTCTTTATCTTGGGCCAGTTAGTCTTTCACATACAGGACACTTTCAAATACAGGATTATCCTAATGGCCACCCTGCTCATTGGAGGGATGAGGTTTGAAAGCTCTTATTTCAGTAATGATGGCTAAGAGCTAGGAAACACAATTGAAGGTCCCTGCGTTCCAAAATATCCAGGTATGGTCCCAGGCACAGTATGCCCTAGGTACATATGAGAAGTTTCAACGTTGAACAAACTGACACTTGGGATTGAAATTTGCCACAAACTTTATGGATTACAGATTTGGCTTGGCATTGGGTTTGCTTCCTGATTAATACTACTGTTGGCTGGATCATGCCTGGGAAGGGCCACCTCAAGATATGGGTCAATTAAGCCATTTGGGCCACCATCTGTAAGTTCTGTGGCCCAACTGTTCCCTTCCAGGCTTCAAGAAAGAACTATCCAGGCCCCTTTACCGGGGTACCCAGAGATATTGCACCTACTGGAGGGAAATGGGGTGCTGTGCCACTTCCAGAAAATGGACTACAAAATTCAACCCAATGCCTTATCTGCCACACAAGCCAGCCGTCACTTCCCTGGCTCACCATCAAATCCGCCCACGGCTGCAACCAACTCTGCAGGCCCCAATATATGTCTAGCAACAATTTTTCATTGCAGGCAGGTGATAAGTGCAAACCATCTGGGCTATACGAGTCCTTTTGTCAAAAAGAACAACGCTGCTGCTCAGGCACACAGCTTGCTTTTTAAGCTGCAGCAGTGGACCAGAGTGAGGACTTGCTCCCTCTAGTTCACCGGTGAATCCCACCCAAAAGGCTGTGATTGACCGATTCAAACTGGAGATTTTGTTTTTGTTTTGTTTTTTTGAAAATTTTTTATTAGTTTTACAAAATATTTTAAACAATACAAACAAATAAAAGACATACAAACATGTATAATTTCATAACATTTTTTTCGTATCCCTCACTTCTCAGACTCCCCCAAACCTCCCCTTCCTACATCCCAATTTCCAAAATTATTTCAGCAAATTCTAAATAGTTTTATCAAATACATTCCTTCTTATTCTTTTCTTTAACTTAGTCTTATGTCGCTGTAATCTCCTTTTCTTTCTCAAAACCTCGACATTTTAGCATTCATCAATTTTATAATAGTTCTTAAGATAGATTTTAAATTTCTTCCAATCTTCTTCCGCTGTCTCTTTCCCCTGATCACGGATTCTGCCAGTCATCTCAGCCAGTGTCATATAGTCCATCACCTTCATCTGCCACTCTTCCAGGGTGGGTAGATCTTGTGTCTTCCAATACTTTGCGATGAGTATTCTTGCTGCTGTTGTAGCATACATAAAGAAAGTTCTGTCTTTCTTTAACACCAACAATGCCCAGGAGAAAGGCCTCTGGTTTCTTAGGGAAGGTACATTTAAGTACCTTTTTCATTTCATTATATATCATCTCCCAAAAAGCCTTAATCTTTGGGCACGTCCACCAATGGTGATAGAAAGTACCTTCAGTTTCTTTACATTTCCAACACTTATTATCGGGCAAATGATAAATTTTTGCTAGCTTGACTGGGGTCATGTACCACCTATAGATCATTTTCATGATATTTTCCTTTAAGGCATTACATGCCGTAAATTTTATCCCGGTGTTCCACAACCATTCCCAGTCAGCAAACATAATGTTATGACCAATGTCCTGTGCCCACTTAATCATAGCTGATTTAACTGTTTCATCTTGTGTATTCCATCTCAGCAGCAAGTTATACATTCTTGACAAATTCTTAGTATTGGGTTCTAACAATTCAGTTTCTAATTTTGATTTCTCAACCCGGAAGCCAATTTTCCTGTCTTGTTTGTACACCTCCATTATCTGATAATAATGGAGCCAATCTCTCACTTTGGATTTCAATTTCTCAAAACTCTGTAACTT